AAACAGCAGCTGCGGGGGATTAGAGCCCGAGGTCCCCCCGCTGCCCAGTGGCCCCCTCTGCCTGGGGCGGGCCTGCCCTGCCGGTCGCAGCCCCTGCCTAGCCTGGGAAAGGGGCCCAGGGATGGCTCCCCTGGGGAGCAGGGAACCACTCTGCTCACCCTTGGTTGCAAGGCCGGGTCAGGCCCTGTCCATCACAGGTCACCCCAGCACGGAGCCCACCCACACACAGCCGCCCACCAACCCTGGCCCTTTGGGGCACCCTGTTGGGGTTTGTCTCCAGCGGCCCCTTGGCTGGGCTTCCCCACCAGCCGTCTCCCCCAAGCCGGGGAACTGGGACCCCTGGGGTCAGGGGCTGCATCTGGCAGCATCCCAGAGGGGAAAGGGGTTGGCACCCAGAGCCCCCAAGCAATGACAGACTGTCCCCATCTCTGCCCGCTGCCCAGGGGCAGCCCCCTCCCACGCTCACCCCTCCCTGCTAGACTACCAGACCCTTCCAGCACCTCCTCCCCCACCTCCTTATCCTCCCCAGCCTCTCTCGTCCCCTTTCTCCTGGTATTGATTTTTCTTTACTGGGTTTTTTTTTTTTTAAGGTGATTTAATTGCTTTTTTAAGGTTACTTCAGTCTGGAGCTCTGCCAGGAAAGCGGAGAACTGTCCCCCAAGCTCTCCCCAGCACTGGTTGCGGCCCAGGACTCAGTGTGTGTCACTAAATTGTCCTGCCATCCAATGAGATCACAGGGTCTTTCTCCCCAACATACTGGCCTCCATCACGAGCCCGAAGCACGCCCTCTTTTCTCCTGAGGGCATGTCGGGGAGCCTTCAACCTCTAGAAGGAATGAAGTTGGGTGGTAAGCCGGTACTGGGGGGCGGGGCAGGGGCAGGGTGGTGAGGGGAGTTCTAGGCCAGCGGGAAGTGGAGCAGCAGTTAGCTGCATTCCCCCCCCACCCCCCCACCCCCCCCACCCCCGCTGCCCTACAGCGAGCTGTCTTCAATTGTCCCCAAGCCCTCATCCTCCAGTCTCCCGGGCCCCAGGAATATGGTTGTGCTCAGTGGGAGCCCCCACCATGTCCTTTCAGCCCATCCCTTGGCCTTATCCCCCAACTCCTCCAGCCTCTTCTGTCACCCACCCTGTCCCCTTACACCCCTTTCCCCTCTGGCCCCCGTCCTTTCTCCCCTCCCTTTCCCCGCTTCCCTGCCTGCCTCCCTCTCTGCCCGGCTGCAGTTGGGTGATAATCTCCCTCATTTAGCCTTCCGGCTGCTTCCCCGGCTCATTGCCCAGCTGGTCCCTGGGGCCCAGCCCAGTTTCTTCCCCACCCCCACGCCCAGCCCTGCGCCCAAGCTCCCCCATCCCTTCCCTGCTTCCCCCACCCACTCCCAGGGGACCAGCTGCCCCCTGCAGTGAGCATCAGGGCCAAGTGTGGCTAGCCAGGACCCAAGCTGGGTGTGAGCAAAGGGGGAGGGGCTGCCAAGGACTCTGGGGGTGGGAATGTGGGTGCGGGTTGGGGGTCGGGGTGGGGGTGTGGAGTGCAGGGTCAGGATGTGAAGCCTCAGCCAGGCATCCTCTGCCCACCAGTTGTCCCCATTCCCCAGATTTGTTCGCAGTCCAATTCTCCACCCACCCCCCCAGGGGCTGAACTAGGTTTCCTAACAGAGAGAGAATGGTGGATGGACTGAGACGCAGAGATTATAGAGTGCCATCTGTACAGCCTGACAAGGCAGGGCACGGCAATGGGGGGCAGAGAGGTAGGGAGGGCAGGAGGGTTCTGACTCAGAGCACCTGGTAGGGGTCACGGAGGTTTTCTTTGGGCAAAATGCTCCAAAAGGTAGACCTGGAGACCTCCCAGGATCCTGCTTGCGGGGCTCCAAGGAGGCTCCAAGGCGCATCCCGCACCCCGAGCTCTGGGGTTCCCTCTTCTCCAGCAGGGACCCGCAAGCTGAGCTGCATTTGCCCCTTCCCCCCATTTGTGGGCCTTAGACTCCCAGCCTGGGTGGCCCCACTCCTGAGTGACATGACCCCCAAACTCCTAGATAGCATTCTAGGGGGAGGGCCCAGTCTCCCCCTGCTCGCAGAGTACACCCCTTGCCACCCTGCCCAGCTCAGACACCTGTCCCAGGCCTGGCTCTGCTGCGGACCAAGGCGTGGGCCAGCGCGGGACAGACGTGGGCTGGAAGGGACACGGATGGGGGGTGCGGAGGCCGGGACTGGGCCAGGCCTGGCTGGTGAGCGAGCAGCGGTGACAAACGGGCTGTGCGGGGGCCGAGGGGCGGGGGGCGGACGGCGGCTGATTTATCTGGGTTATTTATGCTGCGGACGAGGCAGGAGAAGCGGTTAATGAGAGTTCCAGGGAAGGGGGTGGGGAGGTCCGGACGTGATCTGAGGCAACTGAAGAGGGTTGGCGTCCCGCCGCCAGGCCCTGCCCCCACCGCCCGCCAGCACTCTGCACACCCTACCCTGTCCAAGGACCAGCCCAGCCCTGCCCAACCCTGAGCCCTCTCCTGTGGCAGGCATCAACAACCCAAGCCGAGGCCGTGGGTTACTTAGATCGAAGGGGACCATGTCCAAGATTGAGGGGCTGCTGGAAGAACCGGGGGAAGGGGCCAGGAGATGGAGGGCAGGGAAGGAAGAAAGATGGAAAATCTTGGCTGGTCAGAAACTGACCAAGTCTGTGGGGCCTGTGGGGGAGGGTTGAGGCGGATGAGATCAGTGTGGGACTGGGTGGGCAGCTGCAACCTCGGGGCTGAGGCTGGAGAGAGAGCAAAGGGCACTGGGGTGCAGATCTGGTGTCAGCCAGGAGTCATCATGGGGGGCCTGAGAGGCAGAGACAGGCCGGGGGGTGCTGGTCAGAGAGAACCGGGGAAGGAGGGGGGGAGAAGATCCCGAGAAGGAGGGGG